TATTCGTATTATATTTCGTATTCCCAGTCTAATGAATTTATTGATTCTAAAAGATAATCGATTTTCTATTCTAAATATCTACTTTAAATAAGGCCATAAATTAAAGAATCTATGTTGTGAGGTCTATTCTAATACATTTGTCACGCCCTCATTAGAAATGCATACAAAATCAGAAAAGATTACCAATTTATTAAGTTAATAATTAAGTTAATTTTATAATAAAAAATAGACATGCATTGGACAAGCCTAATATACTCTATTTAATTACCTAAACGAGCATTAAAAACGAAAATAAAAACTAAAAAGTGAGCAGACAAAATATCGACTGCACTTTTTGTGTTGTTTAAGGTTCTGGTATTTGGCTTGCTTTTTCCTTAGCTTGTTTTTGCCGTTGTTGTTGTTGTTGTTGTTGCTTTTTGGCAGTCAGCCGCAAATTGCATAGAAACCAAAGCTAAAAGTGGGTTGCACTCTCTCGCCCAGAATTATCGAGTATTTTGCAATTGTCAGCCAGACACATATACATTATATACATATACATATATGCATACGCTACGTATACGTATTTTCTACAGCAGCTGCTGCCGTTGCTCCCCTTGTTGTTGTTGTTGTTGTTATTTTAGTAGTTGTTATTTTTGAATCATGCATTTTTAATTAGTGAAATTGCATAGAAGAATGCAGCATCTTGTCGTGAATTTTGGTTGTGTTCAATGCGCAATATTTTACAGTCTCTTGTCTAATTATAATTAACCGATTTATCTATGCACTCTAACCAAAATGTCTTTACATAATAATGCTAATGTAACAGAAATGATCAAAATTGAGGACAGAAATTTATAAAACAACTGTAGGGAGAGAAAAATAGAAGAAAAGCTTCAATGATTAATTAACTTGGGATATAGTTCCATATAAATTAAATAAAACCTGTTTTTAATTTATTTATACACATATTTATTAAATTATAGTGCAAATTATTACTGCAGAAATTAATATATGTGAGTCATCGTTAATTATATATATGTATATATATTCATATACCTACTTCATTAGTCGCAGCTCAAGCTTGAAAGATTCTAACACTAATGCTAAAAGCATTCATGAATATGGCATGGTAATTATTCCAGCTAACTTGGAAGCTTGTGACCTACCCCAACTTTTGTTATTATAGAATACATTAGGTCAACTATGCACACTCACCGCAAATCCGTTTAATCTGCATATAAATGTGTTTATCTGGGTATTAACGACTGGCAAATACCCTTGATTTATTAATATATAGATATTTATTCTATTATATAATGCATTACTTCTAAGCAGCTCCATTATACCCCTTCTGCAGCTGCTCAATCTGTACAGGGTACATCGCATAGAAATCCCTTCATTTCATGCTCAATTAAACAAGTCAACACGGATGTTGTTTGTGTACATTCAAAGCGCTTTTTCTTCTTCTCTCTTTTTGTTATTTGCCACTTGATTTGCATTGCGCTTAAAATGTATTTGCATATTCCGACATGTGTGTGTGTGCGTTTGTRTGTGTGCGGATTTGTCAACTCAGCCAGCAGCAGCAGCGGCGACAACGACGCCGCTCATAAATCACGCTAATCTATAACTATCGATCAAAAGACCAACACACACAAAGAGAGAGAGAGAGAGAGAGAGAGATAGCGGGAGAGAGTGCGAGCGAGAGATGGCTAGCGCAGCTATTCGGCGCTGTTCAAAGTGTCTTGAGAATTTATTGCCTGAATCCTTGAGCAGCGGCGTATCAAATACTTACGAATCGAACACATTGCGAAAAACTGGCCAAAAATAAGAAAAGAGCAAAACAAGATTTGTACATTTACATATGCGAATACTTAATTTTAGTTTAGCTTGAGCACTGAAGAGTGCGCAATTACATACATATATGTGAATACCATGGCCCGTTGATCGAGGCACCCCAACTTCTACCGCTCTGCCCCCCTTCCTCTTCGTAGGTTCTCCTTTTCACTTGTCATTTGTTGTTGTTGTTGTTGTTCTATTTTTATTATAAATTGTCTGCAGATATTTTTGCCAAGTTGCCAATTTTTAGCTACACATCATGCAATGTGTAGAGCAGCTCCCTTGATGCACCCTGCGGCTGGCAGTGCGTCGCTCTGTCGCCTTATCTGCTGTGGCTGTGGCTGCTCTTGTTGCTGTTGCTRTTGCTGCACCTGTCGCTGCAATTCGTTGCACTCACATAACTTGGCAACAACAACGGGACAGTGTATATATGTACATATGTATATATAAATGTGTATTTACATAAATCAAACACTTGCAAATCGGCTTTTAAATAATGATCAACGCGAGTTTAACGACAGCTTTGGCCAAAAAGCTTTTGACGGCTCAGCCAGCACGTGCTGTCGCCACATTTGAATTTGAAGTGGCACACAAACAGCTTTTCAACAGCTTCCTCACCTAGCCCCCCACATGGACTCTAGCTAATGTCACTGCATAATTGTTTCTGAAGTTTGTTGACTGTTATCAAATAAATAAGCTGATATTTACACTCTTTTAGCGTGGCTTAAGCTTCACATTGAAGCTTAGCTGTAGTAGATTGTAATGATAGTCGGGCTTGACAACGGCTTTTACGCAAATGATAATTATCTGTGACTGAGCTCTATCAGCTCTCTTATGTGGTATTTGATTTTTGACAAATATCGAAAGAAAAAAAAAATAAAACTTTTTGATAGGCCGCTTTAAATGAACAGAATTGCTTTGTGTCTGTCTGACAAATAGCAGAGCGAGAGAGAAACAGTTGGAGGTCTTTCAACTCGACGATAAAAGTTTTTTTTAATAAATTATTCTTTTTGAATAATTTTAATAGCAATTAATTTTTTTTACATAGAAACTTCTTTTAAGTTAACCTTTTTAGTAAACAAATAAAACTACTTTAGTCGAGAGTATTTGAGTGAATGCTGCTTCACATTATACAATCCCAATGAACTCATTAATCAGTTTAATATATTAATGAGCATAAGAGTATAACTACTGCTCTCATTTTTATTTCCCTTTAAATTCTCAATGTTTTATTTAATCTACATATATATTTTAATGAGCTGCATTTATCAACGCGTGCCTAATTACTGCGCTCCAATATTATTTTACATTATTTGCATTGCCGCTGCCGCCGTTCGCAGTTGTCCTTTGCCTTATATAAACAAATGCTTAATTATGTATAATATACGATTATTTTTAAATAAAATACATATATGCTTGATATATTCTTTTATGATGAGCCTGGTTGATATATTGTATATATGTATATAGATAAATATTTTTATATAAGTATCAAGCACACTGTCCACCTGCTCAGCTGCATTTCTGCCTTTTATTTTTATGACATTTATTGATGTGTTTCTTTCTGGTTTTTTGTTTTTTTTTTTTTTTTTCTTTTCTGCTTCATTACATATTTTTATTACTCACAATATTTGTGTGCTGTAATGATTATTTAATAGCCGATGCTTGCTTCGCATTTTATGACTGTGAATAATATTTCTCGTATTTGCATATACATATATTAGACATTTATATATATATATATGGTTATATATGGTTTTTTGTCCTTCTTCTTTGATTTGTAATAATGCGTGAAGTGTGGCGTATTTAATTCGAATTTGCATACAAAATTTACGCATCAATTTATAATTTTAATTACTTTCCATTTAAATTGCCACCGTTTCTGATTGTATTTGCATTCACAATCTCTCTCTCTCTCTCGCACTCTCTTTTCATCCACCTTTTTCTCTCTCTCTGTATTTGTACAACACTGGATTAGCTTTGAGAGCTTGCTGCGTATTTCTATAAATATTTAACAACGACATAATTCAATGGAACGCTTTAACGCTTACACCTGCTCTTAGAATCCCCATTTAAAAAGTTGCAAAACCCACGAAAGGCCACATAAATAATAATATCCCTTTTTATGTTGCGCAACTTCTCGGCACGTGAACTGATTGACAAGAGCTTTTCAACGGTGTCAGCTTTGTTCAAGGACTGACAAAACAAATGCTGAATGGAATACCTCATGACAGATGTAAAAATAAAAACATTTTTACAATCTACAATATATTTTTGGAATTTCTGTTTTAAGCCATTTATTCAGTTAGCTTTAAAATCCCAGTTAAGCATATATAACTCCATGCTATTAGCTTCTACAATAAATTCATGGGCTTTAGAATATTCATCGACCGATAAGCTTAGAAGTATTTACCTAAGTTACGTTTAGTATAGTTCACACTATATAAAGAATCAGTTGCAAATTTATTTACTTTCTATAGCCTTTTAGTCTGGTTTAACAATTTTCCATGTATACAGCTCACACTCTAGCAAATTAGTTAATCAACTGAATTAAAGTAGTCATTGTTAATAAGTTTTTAGTTCAACTTTAAGTTTATAGAAATAGTTGTTTGCCAACTAACTGTTAGAATTGAGTCAAATTAAAGTTCTATACATTATAATTTGAGGATTACATCAAAGTTAAACTGTTCAAGTCTGGTTTTAGCTAAAATTCTTTTAAAATCTGTAAGACTTATATCAAGTCAAAAGCTGTAAGAATATGTTAAATCTCTTATTATCAAGCCCTTTAAAAGCTATCCCGCCTTAAATTATTTATAACGTGGTATCACATAATTCTGCTTAATAGCCCATATCAAAGTCTGAAAATTATACCAAAGCTCAACTTTTCAGGTTTGTTTATCCTCAAATCTCTGAAGCCCTTTAGCATATGGCATAAATTATTAGACTGCCAAACACAATTCCACTTCGAAGCCACATCAAAGCTTTCAAATTATATTAAAGCTTTCACCTTTTGAAATCTGGACTGCTTCAAATTCAAGTTGTAAACCCTTTAACATTTTCTCTCAACCTGTCCTTGCTTTAAATATACTTATTTCACAAGCACTTAATTCATATAGCTTAATATAAATGTTGCTCATATATATGTTAATTATTAATACAATAAAATCTTCAGTTATTCCACTCACCTTTCCTTGCATAATCAGCCTTATTGTGAGTGTCACCGATGGATCCTCCAGTTTGATGGGCGCACCGCTCGCACTGCTGCTTGTGTTATTGTCCTCCATTATTATTTGTTTTGTTTTTGTTGTTGTTGCTTTATATTTATAATATTGTTTATATGATGTGCTCTGTGCTCTCTGCTCTGTCTTTTATATTGTTAATTATCTTCAAAGTGTTGACCGATTGACGGTCGTTACTAGATCTTTTCTCGCTTCGTGTTATCCTTGAACTGTTTGTCTTTTAGCTGCGATTTATGGCTAAAGTTGTAAATATATATATATATTTGATATATATACTTGCTATATGTACAGTATATTGTTCATATATGATCAAAATATAATGCACACCGACATCTATTTGAATTTTGGCTAATCTGGTTTTGTTTAATTTATTATTTTTATTTCCCTTTTTTTAGTTTCTTTTGAAAATTAAATTGGTGGTGTCTTTTACTAATCGTACTACGTTTATATTTTTACTTTTATATATTTTTGTTTTGTTGGCTTAAGCTCGCTGCGTTCTATTAATCCTCGTCTCTCTTGTGGCTTTCTGCTTTCCTTTTGCTGTTTTTCTTTTCTCTTTTTTGAGGTTTTCCTTCGATTAAAAAATGCAACAAATAATCACTGCTAGATACGATTTTGCATAGAATTTCTAGTATATTATGCTTAGTATTTGTTTACGTTAATGTTGAGCAAAAATACTGTTGCTTAGCGTTTGTATTTAGTTTTCGCACTGCAAAGAAACAGAGAGAAAGATAAACAATTAATATATGTACGCACTTGAAATACTTTTCATAAATATTAGCTAATTTATTTTGTAAAATTTGCGCAATGTATTTAATCAAATTGCTCTTCAGTCAACTCGACTTGACTCAACTTTTGTGGCATTTTTCCCGACTTCCGGCATTTTGTTCAACAACAACAACAGCAACAACAGCAAGAGAACTCTCAGCATGCCTCGTTCATCATGAGGCTACTATCGTGTGCGTTGTTGTAATTTTGATATGAAATGTGTTTTTATACATATTCATAAACATGTACACATACATACAGCTTTGAAACTGCGCCAAGTTTTTATATGCATATTCCACCGTTCGTTTGGGACATATAACCGAGTGTTCACATATATATTATCGATGGCTGCGCCCCCCGACTCAGCATCAGCCTCAGCCCCTGTCCCAGCCCCTCTCCCACTCCCCCTCACTCAACCCAAGGCATTTCTTACGCTCGAAATCACTTCATGTGCAATTTAGTACAGATATACAGCATACACTGCGTCGCTTCTTCTGCTTCTGCTGCTGCTTCGCTTTTTATTTTTTAAATATTTTTTTATTCATTCGCTTACTTTTTCGTGTAAGAGAGCAGAGCAAATTCCCAGCATAGCTTTATATGCAGACTTCGCATGTGATTCTGAATGGTTTTTGCCAGCAGCAGCAGCAGCAAACAACATTTCCCCAAGGAGCTGCAGTCGGAGTGTGCAGGGCTCCAAAATATTTGTACAGGCCAACGCGATGGCTGCCAACAACTGCTCCAGCAGTTGTTGCTGTTGCTGTTTATGAAATTATGCGCACTAATTCCCCATGTAACGGCAACTCTGCCTAGAGATAGCATAGCGTCCGTCTATCTACCTATCTCTATCTCTCTCTCGCTCTCTCTCCCTCTCTCTATCTGTCTATGTGTTGCCTGACTTTGTCTTATGCGGGTCGCTCGCAAAATGTAAAAAGCATTAACGACTAAATAAATGCGCATAATTTGGCTGCCCGCGTGCACTTTACATTGACATGATACTCGGCACAACAACAACAACAACAGCAACAGCAACAGCAACAAGAGCCTCACTGATAGCCAGTCCTCCAATGCTCCAGCCGGCCCCCTTGGCTGCCACGCCCAATTATTTGCATGCATATTTTCCATGTTTTGTTTGTAAATATGCAAATCTATTGCGCTGTCCAGGTGTGACAATCCAACTACTGCAACAGCTTGTAGCAGTCGCCTTCAAAAATGAATGAAAGACGCCCGCCGACTGCTATAAATATAAAAGGGACCAGACTGCTTTGCAAATATTTAAAGTTGATTTTAACAACTAAAGTTTATGTCGAAAACTTATTGCGGAGTTTATTTTATGAAATGTTGCTTTGTTTGATATTTTTGCTATGGAAATATATGAGAAAGTAAAATAAAGTTTTGTTGGTGTGGATAAAGAATCAAGGAGAGAAAAAGCATATACAAGCATTTTTAGAGAATTCATATAGGGATACATTTATTTATATTTTACATTTAGAAAATACCGCAAAATATTAGAAAATATTATGGAAATCTTATTAGAGAATTTTTTCAGGTGTTTCTCTATTTTTATAATCCCATTGAAGAAATGAATGAATCAATATTTGTAATATATATTTTGTATTAAATTAAATAAGTTTTTTATATATAATAATATGGGACATTAACTTATTATTTCGGGCTTCATTTCAACAAAAACCTTAAAATTCTGAACTACATGACTTTAGTAGCATAATAATTTATTTCTCTATTAACGCGATGTTTATATGGTGTATATATTTGAGTTCATGAAAATAGAAGCGTTGCACTAGAAAAAATGTAATCAAATGAAATTGTACTTTTTCCGTTGAAAAACAAAATAATTCCCAAATTTTGTTTAGAATTGAATGCAATGAAAGGAATTTCGAAAAATCACTGAATAAATTTTGTTTTTGATGGATTTTGGGAACTAAACTGAAAATCGCGCGTTCCTAGAAATTGTGAATAAAAATAGTAAAAATACAAAGAATAAAAATTGTCCTTAAATGAAAAGGTATCAATAGTTAATATTATATTTTATACCGATTGAAATTCATTGGAATTGCAAATTTTTTTTTTAGGTAGAGGCCTGCTAAATTTTTGAATATTTTTTTATATATATAAAATTTATAGTAAATTTGCTTAAAATATTTAGTGCTTATTAAATATACTATAAATATAATAAAAATAAAGTATATTAAAACCTAAACAATATTAAATTTGAAATTACAATTTATGGCTAGATATATATAAAAATTCAATTTTCAAACGGAAAGTTATGAAATAATTTGAAAACTAAATTCATTTCCATTTCTAGCCGAACATCTTTACGATTGACAATTCTGTTCCTTTACAAAGAAACTTTGTTTGTTCTACAAATGCAAACTAATGCAGAACCTTTGTAATCAGCCTCACATTGCTGCTGCTGTCCCTGTCCGAGCTAACCTTTGTTCGCATATATCCCAACTCACAGCCATGGCCAAGTTATCTTAGCATACGAATCCATTCCTCTCAACTTTAAGCATTGACTTTCCGGACATGTGTGCAGAGCCTTACAATAAACTTTCGACAGTTGTGTCCGACTAATGCATTAAGTTTTCATGTTTCACCTACTACGTCCAGCCACCTCCCTTTGCCCAAAACCATCTGTACATTATATATTCAGCAGCATATATACGAAAAATTTCATCTATCAAACGAAGGCAAAAAGTACGCAAAAGTTTTTGGCAGTGTGTCGCAAGAGTTTCATGAATTCATCAGATGGAATTGCGAATGCCAAACATAACAGCAACACACTCACAAATGGCACACCAAAAATTAGAAATGTTCAACTAAACCAATTGCATGCATATTTCACATTTGAACTAACATAACTGCTTGAATGCCAAGCTTTCAGCTTTCAGCTTTCAATGTTGCCATACAAATTGCGGTGCAGGTATGACAACTGTGCAATAAAAAGGTAGAGAGAACTCTATATATAAGCCACGATTTGATTCCTGCTCAGACAGGGCACACAAACACACACACACACCAACGACGCTGTCATGCTCATGGCTCTATGGGAGTGTGAACCGGAGGTTGCACACAACACAACACATGACCAGAATACGCTAAAGACGACTGTTCAGGGCTGTCTGTCGGGCGGTCGGGCGGACTGCCGCATGCTGTGAACTGCCAGACACGGACAGACAGCAGCCAGTAGCAGCAGCAGCCTGCTATTGCTGCCTTCAGGCAACGAGCAGCTGTAGGGGGCAATGAAATAATAAGTTCCGTTACAAGCATTGTAAATTCTTAGCATTGCATGCCACAGCGCCCAGAGCCCACAGATGAAGACATCCATCTGAGCAGTCAGTAGACAACGTATTGGCACTGGCTCGACTCGACTGAAGTCAACTCGACTCGACTCGACACCAACTTCAGCCAACAACAACAACAACGACGACGTCTCGAACTCCGTCTGGCTGCAAAACTCATTATCAATCATACGCACTGTATGCGCGCACTTGGCATCAGCTTTTAATGACTTTTTCTTCAGACAAACGCAAAAAAAAAAAAAAAAAATACTTCAAAAAGGCAACGCAGCATCGTAACTAGTTTGGTTTTAATTAACTTGCATATAAATGCCAGCACACTGGCACTCGGGCAACCGGTTTGCTTTCTAATTTCTTTTAGCTTTCCACACTCACACACACACACACACTTTCAAGTGTTTGCATGTCCGTGTGTGTGTGTGCCAATTCTCTAATTTCCTGGCAATGAGAAAAACAGCACCACAAATCATCAAGATATAAAGTAAGAGCTTTATATTTCTTTCATACTCTCTCCCTCACTCACTCCCCTCCCTCTCTCTGTCTTGCTTTCAGCATGCTGGCAAATGAATTGCATATGCGATGTTCTCTTTTTTTTCCAACTAAATGTGCATTCTGTGTAGAAATTTATAAGATTTCCAGCGAACGATAGCAACAACAACAAAAACTTAATATGCGGGCCAAGGCAAAGTATTTTGCTGGCAATTAAAAGGAATTTTCCAACAAAATAATGCAGCTATAAAAGGAAATAGATTCTTTAAAGACATTTAACATTTGCAATCTATATTGAACAAAGGTGTCTTCCCTTGAGCTGAGTTCAACACCTTTAAGTCAACTAAATCCGTTATGCTCTCTAATCAAGTTATGCTAAGCCAAAAAAAAAAAAAAAAACTGTTGCCTGCTTTGCAGCGCACAGACATTTGTGGTCTCATCATAATAATAATAACAATAATAATTTCTATGCTGCCAACAGTCGTTGCCTTTTGATATTACACCTATATATATATTGTCTTGCCCAAATAGAGCAAAAAAAAAAAAAAAAAACAAAGAGAAAATAAAAGAAAAACCAATTGAATTTTTTGTGTCTCACAAAGCAAAAACAGAAAAGAAAAAAAAAAGAAACTCATGAAGCGGCACAATAAATGCTAAATGCTGTACGTGACACACACACGGGGGTCATATGATGATGATGATGATGCTGTATGGCATGGTATGGACTGTAATGGATGGATGGAAGTACGAATTGTATGGTTTGCTAAGAGACAGATAGAGTGTGCGAGTGCGAGTGAGAGAGAGAATAGCTGACATCTCGGCCTTAAAAATGCTGTCATGCGTTGAGAGACTTTTGTTGACGGTCGCGTTGACTTTATACGTCAATTTTCATCGTAGTCATACGAGACGAAGACGTGAGGAGTTTTATTTTTTTTTATTTCTTTCCTTTTTTGTTTTTTTTTTTTGTGCTTTCCCGTTTACGGCAGGCAGCAGGAAAAACAAACATCAAGTGCAGACGACTGCCAAGTCGAGAAACATTGCTGACGCGCTGACTCGCTGACTGACTGGGTGGTTGCCTGGCTTTCACTCCGCCTAAAATGCCATTCTCTAGTCAGCAGCACAACACTCTCAC